TACGCGTTTTCGTACAAAAAAAAAAAACACAGATATACTGCTGACTCCACTCCATTCGCATGGAATATGTAATGCTCGTGGCTTTCCATACCAGGGTAGAAATTTTACCCAGTCCATCATTCGACTATTAATACGCGCAAAAGGCATTTGCTGCATGTTTGCGGGCGATAGTGCAGGCAGCAACAAGCAAAACAAAGCGCATACCACGCCAAACGTGCCAAGTGAAAAAATGAAAAGTAACAATTGTGAAAATCGGAAACATCTCAAACGTGAAGATTTCGCTTGTTGAATTATCCAAAGCTGGCTTAAGAAGTTCCGTGCGACTTCAATGTATTCCCCCTCACGCTGAACACAGTTCACTTGTCGCGAATTCTTGCCGCTAGATGACGCATAACTCAATTAGAACGCATTTATGTATTATGAAAAAAAATCATGTAATTTTATTTTGACTTCAGTTTTGCTGCGTTCCTACGTTAGTTCTTTGGCTAGGTGTGTGTCTGCACAGTACGACCCTAACATTTTAATCATTCATTTGTTAAACCGCCCTTCTTTACTGCTCCTCCATGGTGTACGCATTTGCGTAACTCCACCCCCAAGAGCACATTTGCAATTAAATTCGTCACACAAATCAACAGCTGTTGCCAATACTACACCTTAGGCGGATTTTAAAAAAAAAAAATATGGAAAACGAAAAGCACGAAAATATGCTACTCGCCATTGCGCGAGATTTTCAGTCGATAGACAATTTTATAGAAACCTTTTTGTCATTTCTTGAACACAAAACTGATTATTTCCACGTAATGCTTAATGAGGATGATATAGGAACATTGGTCAAAAAGTATGATGGTACTGTAGGGAAGGACATTTTAAATAATAACAAATGTGGATTCAAAGCGCATAGCAGAGAACAGAACCTAATGAAGTCATTTAGAAAACACCAATTAAATTATATTATCAAAAAGCAGCCCTATTTAATTGAAAATGAAGACATGAGGAACAAATATTTACCTTCATGTGATGAGTTAAAAAAATTGAATACCTCAAAATTCTGCGAAGTGAAAAATAAACAGAACGATATGCAGAAGAAGGTAGAAACTGGACCGACACCGATTAGTGTCTCTGCAAGTAATATATTATTTAGAAATATCGTTAAGGGAGAAAATCACCAAAACGTAGCGATCGTCCCTAGCGGATGGGGGATAACAAATATGTGCAACGTGTTCTAAGCATACATGCGCATAGATACTCATACATATGCCATATGCACCCCCATTTAGGTGAAACCCACATATCAACCTGGAATGGCGGGCAAACTGAGAAATATCTCTGGAATCAGGCGCTAAACGAAATTAACATAGAAATGCCGCTCCACACCGAAATAAAAACTAGCGAAATGAACGTCCAAATTACGAACAAAAGCATTAAAGTGTATCACAAAAGTAAGACGAAGAAGGAAGGGGAAACAGTTTTTAACACTCCTCTGCAACGTTCTTAAAATGTGATGTGATCTAATTTCTTTAATGGTTATATGGAGTTTACTTTTTATATTTTTTTTTTTTTTTCACCCCACTTGCACCCCGCAGATGAACTAAAACTGGAAGGCAACTTTTATGAAGAAGTGAATAAGCAGGAATGCATGTGGCACATAGAGGACAAGAAAAAGCTAATTATTTTTTTGGAAAAAAAAAGAGACAACTGGTGGCCATGTGTAATAATCGGGGACCCAGAAATAGACACTTCCCAAATTGAGTCCAAAAAGAACTTAACCGATTTTGATGAAAAAACGCAAGGAGAAATACGGAAATTTTTGCACCAGCAGAAAATGTAACCCTATATCGAAAATACAGTATTTTATATTTTTATGCATAAATATATGTACTTGACAGATATGGAATTGGACAAGCACATTTTTGCGTGTACGTCTATTCCTGCGTCTTCTGCTCATACATGCAGTTCTGTAAAAAAGCATATTTGCATACAAATAAGACGCGATTACAAAAAAGAAAAGCATGTATGCGCAACTTATTGCTGTAGTAATAGTGCTGTAGCTAATATATATGCTTATATGCCCTTTTTTCGTTCAATGTATGTAGAAAAAATGAAGGAGCCAAATCACCTGAAGAATTAAAGGCGCAGACAATGCTGAAAAATGCCATGAGCAGTAAGGGATATCCATTTATGAAATAAATTTTGGCCACAGGAAATTTAGACGTGATTTTCCCAAATTATTAGTTAATTTTTAAAATTTGAAAAGTTTTAACTTGTGCCTATTTGTGAATCTGCCTGTCCGCTGATGCACCACCATGTACTTATATACATGTATTAATTTATTTGCCGCTACTGGCAGTTCTTCCCCCTACCACATACTCACCATGTGCACATCACATTATCATTAAACATGATAATTTTGCCGAAAGAAAAATCGGAAAAATGGCTTTCCTAAAGAATTATTCTACCGAAATGGTGATGTTCTGTCTGCATGTATTGTTAAAAATGTTGTTTCTCCCATTTTTCTTTTTTTTTTTTTTGTGTTTTTCTTGTTTGGTGTTTTTTACGAAATGTACTCAATTGGTTTCATGTGAGCAATCTATATTCAAAGCCAACCTTCGTGCTTCATTTCAATGACAAATGTTCATTGAACAATTAGTGTGCAACTAATATCCCTTTTAGCCGTTATAAGAGTGATGAGTAGAGGCATCCCCATTTTACGAGAATTTTAAATATAGTTATTTTCCCCCATTTAACAGCAATATCAAAAATAAGTAAAAATGAAACAAAATAAAATGAACCTTCTGGTTCTCATGTATGATCGATCGCTTTTGGGATATCTCCATTCACTAACCTTTTTTGGAAGAACGTATATAATACTATAGGTGAAACCTGGAAATCAAACAATACAACTAATACGGGCTCTATCCATTTTATGTAAACAACTAACTATTTTTTTTTTTTTTTTTTTCATCATTTGTTCAGGCGATTTTTTCGGTCTGATTGGCTAGCTATTTTAAAGCGCATCCGTATTATTTCCCTTTTTCCTTTAATTTTTGCCATGCTAAAATGTGTGCAGTTGGTCACATTGTTTAAGCTCTTCATACGTTGTCTTAACAAGGATGACGTGAATAAAGAACAACGATTCGTAGTAAGTTCGCGCGAGCATTTTATAGACCCTTATTTTAACGTGTGTACACAGGCACTTCCATTCGGATTGCATTTTCCCGAAATGCTATTGATGTACCTATGTGCGGATATATAAGCATATGCAAATTCGTGTTCGTATAAAAATGGCATTGTAGTTCCCTCCTCTATTTGTGTATTTGCAGAATTGTCAGAGGAAGGATCACTTGTTTTACAGTTACACCACATGGCACATATGTATGCACATGTCGATATCATGCATGATTTTCCTTTGCTCTTCCTTTGTAATAGAGCATTTTATGTTTAATGACAGCCACGGACCTAGCAGCTCACTTGGAAGAACAAAATTAATTTGTTATGCGGTTCGCTGGGAGCTGTCAATATTGTTTCCTCGTAGGACATGCCGCATGCGCAACATGTGCCACATGTTACTTTTGGCCTTTCCGTTTAGAGGAAACCATTGCCTTTTAGTTTTATCCCATTTTGAATATTAAAAAGTGGTATTTATAGGAGCACTTTATTTTTAGCATATCTACAACGGTGTTGCTTTTCCTTTTCAAAGTTGACGCAGGTTTAAAGTTTACAGAATTGTGTGTGAATGCTTGTAAAGTTTGTGCAACTTGCGCGAAAAAAAAAAAAAAAAAGAAGCAAAACGAAGCAAACGAAATTATCCGCGTTTATCCCATTATAACCATTTTATACCTCTGACTGCCGAAAAAATGTGTACACATACAAACGAGGAAAAAAAATTGCACTTGTATGATGCGTATAACTGCATGTTTCACATACACAGGGCGAACAAAGCATATACAATTTTGGGAAATTAATTTTTATTCATATTCAACCCATCCTTTTCTGTGCTGTTTTGTACTTTTACTTTACTTTTTTTATTCTTGCAGTTTTCGACTTTATGTTGTGTGTGCCCCTGAAAGAATTGCACTTGGTGAATGCAATCACCCCAATGTGGGTAGGCGTTCCCTTTGGAGGACATTTTCCTTTTCCGCTTTTTTTCGCAACAGATTTTTGCTGTCGTGAAAGTAGAAATGTTCTTTTTTTATTTTTCTTCTTTAAAAAAAGTGGAGGAAAAAAATTGGAGTGATGTAAATGTATGTACAAATATATGAATATACCCATGTATATGTGCGCATCGTGTAAACAGCCTTCCCCCGCCCCCCCTCCTCATATTGAACTGTTGTGTACTCTCAGATCACTTTTTTTTTCACCCGTTTTTCCTCCCTGCAATTTGCAAATGTTGTCATTAACGTCGTAATATGTGAAGGTGTACATGCGTAATTCTGCTCTTATTTTTTTTTTTTTTTTTTTCTTTTTCCCCCCTTTCTTTTTTACATTTGGTTGCAACTTTTAAGAGGCAACAAGTATATACTAATATGTACTTACATGCGCGGATACGCGACAAACATAATGTTGTAATAAGTAGTGTTTGCCTACATGAGTGTGTTTATACATATATAAAAAAACACGTATTTATGTGCGTGCGTGGGTATGTACACATGTACAGCACCACAGTATATCTCAGATTTTTTCCGCCCATAGCAAGTCGTTTTGTTCTTTTTTTTTTTTTTTGTGAGGACTTGCAATTTTTGAAGCACTTAATATTACGATGGCGTTTTGGTAATAATGTAAAGTATAGAGAAACCAAGAAAAAAAAATTCAACTGTAAAAATTGTTAACACAGCAGAATATGAGTACACGGAAAATATAATGTTATGAGAACATTGTTACGTGTTAAATGTGAAATTTGGATTTTAAACTTTTTAAGAAATGACATGGAGAAAGAACATTTCTAAAAAGAACAACGAACCAACAAGGAAAAAAAAAAAAAACAACTTAGGAATAACAAGAAAATGCCGAATAATACGAGATATTATTACGACGTGATAAACAGCACGTGGTGGTATTTTGATACCCTCTCTGGGGGGTGGAGAGAATGCGACCAAGACGTAGCAACAGAGGAGACAGCAGAAGAAGAGGTAACTGCAGAAAGTGCAAAAAATGGTGAGGAAAAGACAAGCAATAAATACCATGGTTACAAAAATGTGGACAAGTGCAACGAACCAAATTATACGAATCATACCCAACATGTTATGAACGGAAACGTCGAAACAAAAAAGGGAAAAAGGTTACAATACAGGCTCCATAATTATGCATATACACCAAGAAAAACCTCAAAACCCAATTCGGAAAGTTCTAACGGGGCTAGCAGTACAAAACACTACTCCTTTAGGAGCAACATAAAACAACGTGAAGGTGAGAATGTGCTAGAGCATAATGATGAGACGTATGACAACTCGTATGAGGATAACGGGCATGGAAAATACCCAAGTTGTGATGCGGAAGGAAATAGCTATGATGAAAGCGGTGGTCATCACGATGAAAGCGGTGAACACTACGATGAAAGCGGTGGTCATTACGATGAAAGTGGTGGTCATTACGGCGAGAACTGGGGGTATTATGACGAATATGGGGGCTACTATGATGAATATGGGGGGTACTACGATGAGCATGGTGGGTACTATGATAAAAACGGGTTATATTATGATGGAAGTGGCGAGTATTATGATCACAGTGGTGTCTACAAGGGGGGAAATGAGACGTATTATGATGAGAACCAATTTTGCTACCAGGAAAATGGGGATCTTTACGATGGAAGTGAAGAACACGGTGATGCAAGTGTCAAACATGGCCAAGAAAGTGGAGAGCATCACAAAGATAAATCTTTCCATAAAGATGATAATGATAAACACTATTACGAAGATTGTAGCGAACATGCAAAGGGGATTACTCATAAGGAAGAGGGAGGGGGATGGTTTGAAAAAGGGGCAGGAAAAAATGTCCATAATTACGATGATAAAGTAAACACCGATTGTGCAATAAGTAGAAGTTATTTACACCATGCAGGTAAAATGAGCAATTTGAGCAAGTCAAATGAAAGCAGCAAAGCTGATCACGGAGGGGGTAACAAAAGTGATGGGCATGGGAGCCACAAAAGTGACATGAAATTGGAGCAAAGGTACAACTCTTCAGACAAAGAAAGAACAAGTTACGACGATTTAATGAAAGACATGACAGAAAAAAAAAAAAAAAAAAAATCTTTCAACTCGATGAGTTCAGGAGATTCAGAAAACTCTGATAAGCTAAGCGAGCGAATTAACAGCTTAATCAATCAGTCCAGCAGTAATTTGTCCATACTTTGTAAAAAGAATAGTTCGACCATTTTGGAAAAGTTGCTAAGTCGCAGCTTCACCAAATCTGACCATTTTAATTCCTTCCATACTATTGAAAAGGCAAGTGAAGATGGAAAAGATGAAAATAAAGCAGCGAATAGATTGATTAAGACAAAGACCAAAGTAAATTTCGACGAAATGTATAGGGCTGAAAATACTGGTAGTAAGGAACAGATGGGTATGGGTGGCGAGCTGAGCCATGGGTTGGTCAACAACGCAGGGCACAACGCGGAACGTAGCGACAAGGATAATGACGTCGAAACGAACTATGTGCCCTTCGTGAGGAGGGCGACTAGAAAACTCACTTTTAAAAATCAGGGAGGACTAGCGGGGTGTCTAAAAGTCTTTCAAGAAAAGAAACAAGAGTTAATGTCCTCCGCGGCCAGTGATGTAAGCGACATGGAAATTAAAATTGCCAACCTTAAAAGGAGGGCCAGGGAGCTGGCTCAAAGATACAAAACCAAAAATCAAACCACGGAGGATCAAATGAAAAGTGATCAAATTAAGACAAAATTTGAAGAATTAGTTTTTCTCGTACAGCAACAAAAGAAGCAATCCCATGAAAAGGGGAAAAACCTCAAATGATTCACCCCCCCCACTGCTACCATCTTACGTTTAAAGAAATATACAAAAAAAAAAAAATTACGTAATGATTTTCCAAAACTGCAACGTGCACAGGTCGTGGGTATGCAAGCTGATACAGATGTTAAGTACATATTGACCGTCCCCTTTCGTTGGAACTTGTACAGATCTAGCTTTCTTTCCTACCATTACACAGAAACGAATTACATCAAAAGTCCCCCATCGAGGTGCTGAATCTTTCCGACCAAAACAACATCCCCTCAGTGGAAAAAATATAAAGGGAGCCTATAATTTGTCCTTTTTTTTTATGCTAATTTATTTTGGTTTTCACTAATATTTGTGATCAGTTTTACCAGCTGCGAAGGGCAGACGGGGGATGCACACAATATAACACGTGCGCCGAGGCCTGCGTGCATATTACCATCTTTCCGTAAAGACCTTCACACACCTTTGATATTGCACTCCTCATTTGATTAACCTTTCTTGGGCGGAAATTTTTTTCAATTCACCCCCATTTTTATAAATATTATGCATTTTTTAATTTTTTGGTTTATAGGTTTATTTTGTTCGTTGCTTCACATCCGCGCAGCCGCAACATGGCACAACAAAGCAATTTCGTATGTTCATGAATTTTGTTACACCCCAGCGGTTGCGGTTGTGCCTCTTTGGCTGCTTCCGCGGCTGCTATACTGCGCTTGCGCGTGCAAGTGGTTTTGTTTTGTTTTGGCGCGATTTGATGTAATTTGACCTGATTGACTTGATTTTTCTTTTCCCCCATTTGATAATCTACATACATATATGATGCCTCTATCCACTCGCACGAAAACGTTCGAACTTTGTCTTTAAAGCAATTGTTGATTAAGCATTCAAGCACAATGACCACATCTCTTTATGAGGGTTTGTTTTAAAGGCAACTAGTGGTTGCATAAAGTGGCAGAGTGCACATCCCGGCAAAGAGAAATAAAAACTTGAACATGATAAGTAGCTTCTCTTCTACAGCGGAAGAGTGCGCATGTAAAAAAGCATATCCAAGTGAACACCCAATTGCACGTACACCCGTACACAGATTCAAATCCAGTGGTTTACATAAAATTCGTTCAGGTGCCTTATTTGATATCAACATGTACAGAGAGAATGTGCATAGTTCACATGACATTGCACGATGAGTGGCTTAATCTTATACAGAGTACTCGGATCAGCGGACGTTTCTTTTCAGTTCCCCCAGCATGACATGTGCATGCGTGTTCCGGTGAGTTTATATATATGTATATGTTTTTTCCCTTTTTTTTTTTTTCGAACCATATGAGGATTAAAAGCACGATTTGTCGATTCGAATCGATCCTATCCACATGGGCACTTGAGCCTATTGCATGCTGTACAGGTGTATTGCGACTCGAAGGTCGGTTTGTTTAATCTTAAGCCTATATGATAGTGCCTTTTTTTTTGTGCCCCCTTGGGCCGAGTCACATGTTGCTCATAAAAGTAGGAAAACGGCAAAGCGACAAAAGAGTGGCCTTCCTTAAGGCGTTAAATGGTTGTAAAATACTAAGTGCCCTTCTAAACTATTATTCTGCCTCACGTAAGCAGTTAAGCCGTTGCGCGGCACATGGCTCCATGTTGACATGCATAACATCGCATGCGCACAATTCTTTTTTTTTCACAACTGTGCAACAGAGCAGCATTTTATTATATGTGCTTAATTAGGCACAGAGCAGAAAAACGGCTACTTCTCATAAATAGTGACGTTTTTTTTTCTCTTTTCATATCACTTTTTTCAAAGTTAAAAATCGGCTGAGTTGCAGAATTATTCCATTTGCACCAAAAGCAAGTCCTGTTGTATGGTTGTAAATGCAGTACAGCCCATTTATAAGGTGAAAAAAAAAACGATATATATTTCTTTTAAAGGTATTTGTCTTGCGATTACTTGTTCGTAGAGTGATCTGACTCATTTGCTAATACATAATATACATGCCTAAACCCTTCGGATGTATAAAATATATTTATCCTTTTTCTTAATAATGATACCTATTGCAGTAACTTCTCAAGCGAGGGGTTGGAACATTTTAATCAACGTGGTCATGTACAAAAAAACGAAAGAGAAAAAAGAAAAAAAAAGACTAACCCCCATGCGTGTTATGAATGCATATAAATGTTTATAATAACAAATAACCCATATGCGCCATAGATATAGCCTAGCTGGTTGGTTTATATGAGGCGACGAGGAAGGGCGAAACAGCGCAAGTGCAATATCTAAGTGCGTATATTTTATATGGGCGTTGTCGAGCGGACATTTGTTACGTTCAAATTAAACATATGGCATTATTGGCGGTACATAATTGTTGTATTTGCAACTGTACAGTGCTGTTATACATATAATACGTATACGAATTTTTTTTGGAGGCATTTTTTTTCTTTTTTATGAATACTTTTTCGGATAGCGTTCGGGCGTGCGGCGCGCGAGCAGTATGGATTATATCATTTGCGCCAAAAATAACCTTTCTTCTCTTTTTTTTTTTTTACTCTTTTCTGTTTTTGTGCGCGCAATTTCTCTTTTGTCAAAGTGGCATATATTGTGCCGTAACGTACGAGAGTTATGTTATACGCGTATCTGTGCGCATGTAACATGTATACTTATGCGCATAATAATCACAGTTACATGTACAGTGTTTTACCACCACATGGTATTTGTAATCACTTTCATCTTTTTTCGCAAAAATTTATTTTTTAATCCATATTCTTTACAACATATAAATTTATTTTCATGATCATTTTTTAAAAAAAAAAAAAAAGTGCCAAAAAATTGCCATAAAAGTATAAATGGCGATAATGAAACGATATGTTCATATATTTCTTTTTATATTTTTGCTTAAAATATAAAAACTGAAAATCTTCCTTTTAAGCGTTTGTTTACATGCAGGCGAAGCCGCATATTTGTAGAAGTTTGTTTTAAAACTTGGCTGAGCACAAGTCGACGTACAGTACAGGTTAAAATTGTATGTTGTACGTATGTACATGCGCGCACGATGTTATTTATGCGTACGTGACATACCCTTCGGAATGTACACTTGAGCGTACGATTTCGCAAATATACATATGCATAAACACACTGTACTGATGCGTTCGCGCTTGCGTGTAACGTACGTTTTGCATGTAAACGGGTGTATATGCTCGCCAAAAGCGCCTTTTGGAAGCCATGCCCCACAAATACATGTTGTACATTTGTATAAACACATAACTTGCGCATAAAATCAGTTAAGGTTTTATACGCCCTCCTTGTGTCCCATGCCCCCTCTTTTTTTTTTTTTTTTTTTTTTTTTTTACACGCTGTTTTTATACTTGACACATAACAATTTTTATGCATTTTGCTCAACGTACATGTATACAAGTACATATAGTTTGTTGTTTTGTACATGTAGAGCCCCACTTATTCGTATATTTCTCTTTTTCCCCATGTTTTACAATTTATGTACTTTTTACGGCTTTAAAACGTTGTGTATGTTTTTCCCTCTCCTTTTTTATAAAAATTAAAAATTTTTTTTTTTTTTTTCACCTTTAACGTAAATCTACATAACTGTTGTGTGTAAGTCCATTTCAGCTTCCTCCCGTTTCTCACTCAAAAAGGGGAAAGAAAAGAAAAAAAAAAAAACAAGAAAAAAACGAGAAGAGGAGATGAAATGGGCGTTATTATGTTTCCCCCTTTTGTTTGAGAAGACCGCATACCGTTACAGTTTAACGTATTGATGTTTTATATGTGCAAGTATACACATGTGTACCATGTACACTTGTGTATGCCTTTACGCTTACACAGGATCAAATTTATACACATGCATATAAAAATATCCTCAAGCACACATACATAGTTAACCTGGTCGGTCTCATGCCTCTTTTTTTAAGCAAATTTTAAGCATATAATTAATTTCACGTTTTTCTCAAAAGAACGCGAAACAATTTGCGTCCGTTTGAGGGGGTAAACACGATCTGTGGTTTACACATAATCACATTTGCACTCGTGTGTATGTACATCTTTATTTATACATGTATTTGATGTAATAGGCAGGCACATAACGCGGAAAGAGCCGGCACATTACACACATAATATTTTAATTAATTTTTTTTTTTTTTTTTTAATTCATCCCACGTTTACGTGTTAAAAGTCTCCCCTCACCCATATCACTTTTTCGTACGCACGACGAATTAGGGGAAATTAAAGTAGGCCCTATTTGATATACATATAAATGATATGATTAGCGACAAATATGTGTGCCTATGCATAATGATATTTGTCTGTGTGCGGACTACTGTGTGTATGTGTTTTGATCCCGTGAGTGTGTGATTTATTTCGCGTATGTACAAAAAATTGCTATTTGTATATGTACCATACGTTTTTTTTTTTTTTTAACGTTACGCGCTTTCAATTGCGGAGAATTCACCCCATTCGTATATAGCTTTAAGGAACAGCCCCGTTTTTGCCGCGCGCGCCCTGCTTTTAAGCCTTTTATTACTAGAGGGAAAAAGGGAAAAAATGAATTTTTTTTTTTTTTTTTCACCCTATTTATTTGCATTCTGTTTAAGGCGCAGCATAAATAGTAAAGCTGTGTCTGCTTATTTTATGTAAATCAGTTTTTCGTCCGCTTTGCTTTAACTATTATGATCTTTTAAAAAAGCATATGCATTTTGTTTGTATATGCTATGTGTAATATGTGTGCATGTGTATAAAAAGGTGCCAGACTTCTGTGTTATATATGTGTTACGCGCCGCTTATATACATGCACCACTTACATATAAACGCATTACTCTGCGTAATCACCCCATCATCACTTAATACGCAAAAGAGAAAATGTCATCCGCCACACAATTAGGGATATCGGAGAGGGAGTATGAAGAAGCCCTCGCGGTGGAAAAGCTTTTTTTCCTGTCGTCCAAAGAAAGATGCACTTACTGCAGTGCCGGGAAGCCAACCTTCGTGGATACATACAATTACGAATTTGTATGCGACAGATGCTCATTCAGAAGTAAACACAAAAAAAGAATCGGTGAAGACTCCATCAGTTACTATGATGTACAGAAACTAGAAAAAAAATTTGGAGTAGCATCTTCCTCATATCACAATAGCAGCAATAAGCATCGCCGAAAATCTGGCAGCGGTCATCATCACCACCATCATCATCATCACAATAATGAAAAGAAGTCCAAGTCAAAAAGTAGACACTCATCAGGGAAGAAGCACATTGAAGTGCTGTCAGATGATAATAGCTCTTCATACGATTATGATGATAAAATAAGAAAAGAAAAAAAAAAAAAAAAAGATAAAGAAAAGGACAGAAGCGGGGGTGATCGAGATAGAGATAGAAGAAAAGACAAACATAACAAAGATAAATATAAGAAGAAAAAGAAATATGATGAATCTTATGATGACTTTGATGATGAATTTTGTCTTAATGATTATGATCATACCACTCCTGGCATGATAGGAATTATGAATTCGAATAATATGAACAGTTCAGATTATAAAAACAACAATATGGACAATGGCTTCCAAGACTTTGATGGGACTCTCATGCCTTATAATCAAATAGGGGATGGTAATTTTAACGACCTTGGTGCTCCGAACGGAATGAACCAAGGCGGTGTGGGTCATGGGAACCATCCCTTTGACTCTCCTCACTTTGCGAAGGACCACTACAATTCGAAATACATAAATTCGCCGAACACCGACATGGTGAATGCTGCAAACAACCCGTTATGTTTGGACGATTATAACCCTCATCATTATAATAACAAAATGGGTTACTCTAACAATTATAATATGAAGATGAGCGAGGAGGGGGAGTTAGGCAAAATGAAGTACGGCGCCGGTGGACAGGGGAACAGCCGTACAGGTGGCAACCACCCAGGTAACAACACAAGAAATAGCAGTAATAAGATGAACATGCACCTTTATGACCCCTTCGACACTAACATCAACAACACCGGCGTGGACAAAAGCAGATACAGTAATGGGGCCGTGGATAATGTAAACTATTTTAAAGGTTCAAATTTCCCGAACAACCAACAGGGAAATATGAACAACAGACTCTTCTTGATGAATAAGAGAAATTCTTTAAACCACAATTACAATCAACAGAATAGCAACGCCAATTCCATGTACAGTCATTTTGCAAACACACAAAATCCATACATGATGAATAACCAAAATATGATTAATGCTAAGATGCTTTACGATAATAATATGAATAGTTCTAAGAATAAAAACTTTCACAATAGTAACCCTAACTCTCCATTTATGTTAAATGGTGGTACAATTAGCAATGCAAATAATGCCAACGGCGCCAAGGGTGCTCACACGAACAACATGAACAATGCAATGGGGTACTGCAACCAGGGCAATTTAAATGATAGAACAAAGTGGCATGACAATGGAAGCAGCAATAACGCCATTAACGGTGCCATTAACAGCGCCAGCGGTGGTGGTAACCATAGCAGCAATAATACTGGTGGTTCGCACAACGATGATTTTTCCGCTGTCATTGTATCAGATAAAAATCCATTTTCTCTTCAGAATATTATTTCGAACAATAAAAACTCCCCCAATTATATGAACACCATGACGGAACAGATGAATCCCTACATGTATAAGTAGTGAATGGATTTTGCTGGAGGGGAAGACTTGATTTTTTTTTGAACACGCGCGTTTCACTTTGGTAAAATAACTTTGCAATTTCCTAGACCGTTTTTGTTGCTACCCATCGGCTGTGCCCCCTCCCCAACCACCACCTGTTAGTTTTACCGACAGAAGATTCAAAGCTACGCGATGATGCAATAAGTGATCGTACAAGCACGTGGAACTCTAAAGTATGTTGAACTTTTTTTTCTTTGGCCATCATCTCCTTCTTACGTCTTCATGTTTATATGGGCTATTTCTGCGCTTCTATTTTTTTTTTTTTGTGTGCTTATCCCATGCTCATATTTGCCCCTCCTGTTTCAACAAGTTCAACGCAATCTGCACCATCTCCTCTTCTTCTTCTCCCCCTTGTGGTTTCTTTAAACCCACCTTATCCAAGCACCACATATACAACCTCCTGTATGTGTGCCCATGTATATATGTATGATCCTTCTTCACGTTTGGCTTTTTCAACTTTGTTTTATTGTTGTTTTTAAAATTTTTTTTATTAGTGAATTTTTTTTGGGTTTTTTTTTTTTTTTTTTTTTTTTTGTTGTTGTATTTATGTATGAAAAAATCTGTGGAAATATGCAGTGTGGTTAAGTTTTGAAGTATATTCCCAGGTGTAAGTACAATACGTGTATACATGCGCATCGACATGCGTGTGTAATCACATGCGCCTGATATACTCACACGCGTGTATGTTTTATTCCTGCTTTTTTTTTTTCATGTAAACCGAATTAACGGTCTCCTCATTTTACAATTTGTAAAATTTACCTACTTTACCTTTTGCCCCCGTTTTAAACGATGAATAATGCTGCGCCGTTGTGGCGCTCGAGCGGCGGGAAGTAAAATGACCGGGTATGTGTGTACATATATGTAAGGCTAATACGCTAACTTTAGCCCAGGCAAAATGGTCACTAGTGTTAATTTTAGCGTACTCCTTAAAGTCTCTGCGATTGGAGACAGTCCCTCATAGCCATACGTTTTCACTTCATGTGGTGAAACAAAAAAAAAAAGGGAAACAAAGTGTACTGATTTGTTTAGCAGGGGGAAGAGGCAGGAGGGGATTTTCCAACATTACTACAAGGAGATGTAGACGGATGGTTTGATTTAATATGAGACAAGGGGAACGGAATATATATAAGGTAACAAAAAAAAAAAAAAAAAAGACGATAATCCTTGTTGTACCAAATGGCCCATAAAGTTCTTATGCAGGTTTACTGGGAGAACGAACCCTAATTAAATTTATACTTGGTGTTACCCCTTACTGCTATCGCCAAAAAGATATACGACTGAACCGTTACGATACGCTCAAGAAGAATAAACAAAATTGACCTCCTCGCGGAAATGTCTGAGTGGGAGAAGCTTTGCAGCTTGTCACTTATCCGCTTCTTTATATTGGCCCAACCATTCACCCAACTGCTGTGTTATCAATGCTATATACCATGCCAGGTTGAACATGCGTTTTTGTGTAAACCATTTGGTTTTCCAAGAAATGCTCGCCCGCTGCATACCGCTTCTTCCTCCACATTGGGTTAGCAGTTGGCATATCATCAGGCTCCTTTGGCATAGTCGTCTTTACATTTGCGCTACATCCCCGCATTTCACTCGATAAGAGATGACCACCACGATTTTTTGACTTACCAAAAGGAGTCACGTTTCATTATCCTTATCGTTGTAACTGTGGCTTGTCGTGGTTGCCCCCGTTCGTTTGGTGCACTTTTTCGTATACCGTTGCGTGTTCTCTGCTGAACCACCTCTTGTTAACTCCGTCACGTACAGTTCAATTAATACATATAATGCGGGGTCCTTGTTGGCGGCATAGAAATTGGAAAAAAAAAAAAAAAAAAAAAAAAAAAATTCTTGCCTCAATAATACATTTTAGTGTTATCTACTTTGCGCAGTTCAATTTTTGTACACCTTGGGAAAGGTGAATGCTAGTTGTTTTTTTAAAAATGGTTCAGCAATTTTGCGCGAAAATGAAGTTAACAAGAAAAACGTAATTGGCAATTTATTAGAAGCTATGCATCAGCTCACTAAATGATTTTCCAAACATTTTTTTTTTTTTAAAGAATTAGTGACACAGTTTTTTATCTCCCTTTGGATTTTTCCATTTTTTATTTTTTCCTTTAATTTTTTGTCATTTTTGCGTGTGTTATTTTTATTTGTTAATAATCACGTTAAAAGAGTGAATCTTTTTGCCCTTCTTTAATTGACTTTTTTCTCCTTTTGCATTTTTTTTTTTTTTTTTTTTTTTTTTTTTTTTTTGAGGGCAACGATTTAATAACTCTTCTCCGTTTGATGACATAGCATATTGCCAGGTGAGCTGTGTGGAATAGTTTGAATTTTCCTGCGCCAGCGTGGGTGCTCATCATGTTTATAAATGTTCATATGTACGTATACATATGAGCAGAACTCCATTTTTGCCTATATGCGTACGCCGCGCAGGCAATCTCAAATAGGGAAAGACACTTTTGGAATATCCCCTGTGCTAACTGTACACTGACAAGTGGACTCTTCTATCCCAGAAGCGCGCAGCGGAACAACCGAACAAACGCGCAAGTGAAGAACCCAACAACCGAAGCCCAAAATGACGAGAGGCAACCAACGCGAAGTGGACAGGATCAGGTCATCTAAACGAAATGACAAGGCAAAACAAAACAGCACCGTTAAAGATGCCTCGAAGAACTTGAACGTTATTTGTAAATTATGTAGACACACTTTTATGTGTACAGTTAACCAGTCCATCCTGAAGGAACACCATGAGAAGAAGCACGCAAAGCATGCGTACGAAGATTGCTTCTGATATTTTTTTTTCCCCCTTTGTCTTGTCTTCACTTTTTTTTTTTTTTTTTTTCGTTTCTGCGCCTATGATGTACAATCAGTTACGCATGCGTTTGTTTTAAAGTAGTGGCAAAGTTTTTGTAAATCGTTGCGTAATTCGAGCGGGTCCCTACCCTCTACATATGCACCTACACGTTTGTGCTTCTACACCCCTTGTTCACCGCTCCTTCATTCAGCCCTTTTGATTTTAATTCATATTGTGGATGAGTATATTTTGCTAAGCAGCGTTCCTACATTTTTTTAAGTGCCCCACGTAGAACTTCCTGCTTCCCTTCCATGTGCTCCTTCTTACACGTGCACAAATGTCCATATATTTGTGTATATGCAATATGTACATATGTTTGATTCGAGGTAGAGGGACCAAAGCAACGAAATAATGCAACAGAAGAATAAACACCAAAGTGGCAATACAAGTACAGGTTATAATCATACACACCGCTTATAGTGTCTCCGATGTGGGCTGAAGCGGCTAAATTTTTATAAGAACGAACAATTTGACACGCATCGAGGGGCAGTTTATACCCACTTGAGGAGGATTAAACGTAACCTCAAGAGGGTGAGGGACTTGAATAAATAGGATTACCCTCAATGGGGTGGCACTAAAATGTCCCAATTGGCATAGATGTGCACATACACGTGGGAGAGGAATCCTCTCCTCCTTATGACTGTTCTTTTTTTCTCTTTTTTTTTTAAATTGCAGACTTAAATTTTGTGTTCACATTTTTTACAAATAGACAAAAAAAAAAGGGGGAGGGGGCAAAGAATATCGGAAAATGTGACATAACGATGAAGGTAAAAACACACAAAAAAAAAAAAAGTAAAGAGGTACGCAAGGAGGTGCTGAATGATGGATAAATTAACCCATTGCGAAATTAAAAAAATGCCAACTCGCAACGGTTAATGAACTTCATCCCGTCACTCTTGAATTTCTTTCATTGTACGACATGAACAGTGGTGGGAAAAGATCCTTCCTAATCTTACTGTTAGTTAATGCCTCTGTTTTGTCACAAATGTGCCCCAGTGACGAGTTTGGGTGCACCAACAAAATGGGCGAAGCTCAATGCAGCTGACCCGTTAAAGTTTAGGCTTAATGCTGTTATATATGTACCTTCGGTATTTTTTCAAAATTTTCCTTCATCATGCAGATGATCCCGTCGTCTAGGAATCCACACGCCTGTTGTCATTCTTAGTAGAAGTTCAAGAATTGGCATTGAGCGCATCGGCATTGTCTCCCTGATCGTTTATGCTGCTCCTCTGGTTGTCAATAGCATTAGATCTAATTCGTTCCTCATTTTGACTGTCCTTACTTGGGTCATTGTCAACATTCACATGACTTACCAAGTCTCGAATGACATTATTAAACATCTTCCCATTACCATGCATAGAGTTTGATGAAGGAGAAATGTTACCAGAATGTTTATTTTGTTGAACCCCTAGCATGCTACGGATGCTACTGCTACTTAGGTGCACAGGGTGTGAGTGAAATTTACTAGAGTAACCATGATGACTATGCCTGTCCCTGGGGTACCTACCATGGGACATATGATGGCGATGTGAATGACGCGAATAATGTGACTGGTGCTTCATATTGCCATATTTCATGTGCATCGGGAAATTTCCTGGCATCATATTATTCATCATTGAATTTCCTAGCATATTATTGTAAGCCCTGTCTCCTAGAAACCCTAAAAAGTTCTGTGGGGTTATACCTTCTTCCCTTAGTAAATTTTCGAAATACTCAATTTTTGCATTTATGTGTTTTCTCCCTTGGCTGTGCTGTCTGCGCCCCACTGGGGAGCTGTGTGTTAGGTAGATGTCGCAATATTCACAGTAGTACTTCGGCATGATTTTTCAACAAGATAAAAGGAAGTAAAAGACAATTCAATCCACTTTCACAATGTACTTTTCTATCGGTACGCTGCTCACGCAGGAGGGGTAATTTCTACACCTCACACGCAACTTCCTTCTCCGGGTATTTTTACAGGTCAATAATATTATACCTCTCTATGCTGGATAGCCAACTGCTTTGCTTTTTTCAAAAACAAGTGCTCACATGCGTTTTTGTTGTACAGCCTGTCATATGTGTCATTAGTGTTTGGTGCGACTTATGTTTTGCCCTTTTTGGTGTTCCTGAGAAACGTTACAAGTGACTGTTTTTTTTTTTTTTTTTAACCTGCTATACACAGGTGTCAATTGGTCTTCATAAAGATTTGCTCTCTGGTAAGGGGGAAGAACCTACTGGTGTTAGTTCTCGTGTCAAGTTTGTTCGTACAAAGCCCCACGCACAAATGTGCCATATGATTATTTATGGGACGAATATAACCCTAATGTGAACACAAATTGGGCATCACTGGCGTGGGAATATACTAATTGGAAAAATGAAAAGTTAATCCCCCTACATGAGTAAACACGCTGACTGTTCATGCTATGTGAGCGCGGCCAGAAGGTGACCTCTCTGCCTTTTGTTGTTCACCCTATAACGTTCATACTTCTATATTTTCCGGAACTGCTGCATTACTCATCTACGCTTGTATGTATGAATAGATAAATGTATTCACCATACCAAGCTCTTACGAGTGATTATGTAAACTTTTTTTTTTTTTTTTTTCGCTCCACGTTTGTTGCAGCAATGAAAAAAGGGGGAATTGTAAAGCGTTATAAACGTGTCAAAAAAAATGTCAAAGGGGGCAAACAGGAGCCAACAGAAACATTAAAAGAAAGACTTGAAAAAAAACGACGAGTTGGGCTGGCCAAACTGAAGCGACGTGCGTCCGCGACGTGCAAAAAGGCAAATTGGAAATAATAAAGCGGGACACAAGTATAATATTATTATTATGCCACCAACATTGCTACGCGCAAATAGGCAGCAGCACAAAGTTGAGAAATTGCGAAAAGTCCAAAAAAATTAGCCAAAACGAACATTCGTATGTTTGGTAAAAATACCTATGCATGCGTTTTCACTTCCTGAGAGAAACATAGGCATTAAAAAACGCTGATGATAAAATGTATCCTCCCAAAATGTACATCATATTTTAATAACGTGAACTTTTAATGAATACGCGCACATGACAAATGGGTGAAAAAAACACTCGTGGACATTTTTAATAACTATTTATATATACAGCTTGGGAAAAGGCGTAATTTAAACGAGCATTTTTCCTTTATGAGTTTGCAAAGCTGTGAAAAATTTACTTTTTTTTTTTTTTTTTGGGTTAGCATCTCCACTAGTTGAGCGAAATGTCAAAATTGCCTTTACTCGCATTGATATTTCGGGATAACAACTATGCACATAAATATTTAGCATTTTCACGATATTCACACGAAAGGAAAAAAAAACAGCAAATCATGTTTATAGAAAGTTATTAGCATTGTACAAGTGAACAAGTCCATTTTTACGTTACGTCTCCGTCCAATTTTCCATACATATATAAAAGAGAAATTTTCCCATTTGATCAACAAGTTGACACACATATATTGCATATCACTTTAAACCCCTCACGTTTGCTCATAAATCAGTGGATAGCCTATGAGTACCTGCTTCGAACCGTGCTACCAACGCACACGCACACACACGTAGGACATCCGCCTGTTGAGGTAATCCCAATTTGTGCCGATTAAAAAATACCTTAGCAGCAGTACCGTTATAGGAATGTCGCCATGTCTCCCAACTGCTCAGCTGTGAGGAAAACGCGTCCATTTTTTGCCAGCGCCATGAAATGAACACAAATGCACTCATGAACAAATACATATATATATATATATCCATGTGTGTGTTTCCCTTTCCTTCCCTTTAACTTCAGTGCGCCCCAGTAGCAGCGACCCTTACAGAATTGTTTTCCCCTGTAAGAGAAGGCACCTACAGGAAATCGGAAACAACCCATGTGTATGCAGACATATGTTAAGGGTGGCTTGCACAAATATATGCGCTCCTAATATTACCCATTTAGGATTAGCTTGATTTTTGCATACCTCTAGGAAAATGTCTAATTTGGCGAAAAAGAGATTAATTCGGGACTTTAGAAAATTGCAAGCTGATTCACCATATGGAGTTAGCGGCTCCCCAATAGGAAATGACATTATGAAATGGCGAGCGGTTATTTTTGGGCCAGCAGACACCCCTTGGGAGGGAGGTAATATAAATAGAGGCTAAGGGGGGGAAGAGTTATATCCTCCTGCCCCTTCGAGGATTATGCAAAACAAGTGAAAGGAATAACCCCCTTTTGGAGAAGCAAAAGCTGCACTAATTTGTTACGTTGCTACGTGTGGTACACAGACAGGGGAATACTAAAAAGAGCGTGCTTACCGAAAAGGGAAATAACGCCATTGTTAAGGGTGCCATCGATAGGCCGCCCCTATGGATGACCTCAAAAAAAAGACGTCTACAACGTGATCTTGTAAACACGTCCTCCCTTGTGTTCACTCCCTGTAGGCACCTTTCAACTGGAACTTTTATTTGGAAATGAATACCCAAACAAACCTCCCAAAGTCAAATTTTTGACCAAAATGTTTCACCCAAATATATACATGGACGGAAACATATGTATTGATATTCTCCAAAAACAGTGGAGTCCTATTTACGACATTTCTGCAATACTGACCTCCATTCAGTCCTTATTGAGTGACCCAAACCCGAACAGCCCAGCCAATCAGGAAGCTGCCCTCCTCTTTGTGGAAAACAGAATTGAATATAACCGAAGAATTAAAAACTGCGTCAAGGATTCCATCAGTTTTATCGATCACAAGGTGCAGGAAGAGGAAGACGGCAAGGCTTAAAAGGTTTCAGGGCGTCCATACGACACGTACACACATATATATGGGCACCTCCCCGTTCGCACGCCGCATGTTTGTTTGCCATTTGATGCAGACCGGATTTAGTGGCGTCTTCCTTTGCACATCACAGATTCGAGATTGCATATTGCAGGTTGCGCATTGCGGATCACACCGTGTATTTGGTATTCTCCTGCTGAGCCGCATTTTTTTTTTTTTTTATGCGTACATAATTAGAAGAGTATGTTTCCTTTTTTTTTTGAAAAATCGTGTGTTGCTTACAAGTGTGGGCTGTGTGCGAGGTGATGTTATTTTGGCGAGTCTGTCTGTGGGCATATTTGGCGCTTCTTTTGGCAGATGAAGAACGATGAGATGCAGAGGTGCCGACAAAATGATAAAGGATGTATGAAGAACTTCACTGTTAAAGGCAAAATGACATCACACCACGCAACCGCTGTATATTGCCCTCCCCGTCTTTTTATGTTTTTCTTTTTTTTCTTTTTTTTTTTTTGTTCTCTCATAATTAACTCAGTATTTTTTTTCAGTTCTTTATGCAAATTTTTGTAATTGTTTTATAATTTTTTCTAAAGTGTTATGAAATGCACACTTTGTCATTTATTTCCCTCCCCTTTAGAGTGTTTTGCATTTTATAACGCATACGAATATGAGAAAAATGTGTGTTTTTTTTTTTTTTAAATTGTGATGCATTTATTGCATGTGTGCTGTACATCTACAAGTACGCCCACCCGTTTGTACATAGAGCGGTATACGCCACACGTATGGTTTTGTCATTTTTTTTGTGCCTGTTAAAACTGTCAAAGGTGGAAAAAAAATACTCCAAGCTTTTGGACAAAAACGTATATGACATCATATACGTGTTATATATGTACATGCACAGACATGTATTTTACGTGCACACAATTCGTGAAAAAAATTCCTATTTGTAACTATGAATTTAGCCCTTCAAAATTTGCACATTAATTTATTAAAGACGGCGTGTACTCATATGTGCTTTGTATGGCACTGTCATTTGGGACACATTTTTCTGAAAATTGCGTCTTTGCGTTTTTATGTAAACAGATAGGACAAATGTTCTGTGGAAATGCACAGAGGACGATTTTTTGGCGTATGTTTATGCTTTACTTTTCGTACACCTCGGGGATGGTAAGGTTTAAGGTGAAGTAGTGAGGTATGCACATATACGTAATATGTATACATATTTATATGTGAGTATTTTAAACGCACGTGCTGCCCCCCTTCAGTTGCGCAATGTAGGCCAATTTGTGCAGTCGGAAAAATGGAAGACATGTGCACATAAAACAATGCTGTATACCCAAACAGATCAATTGGGAAACGCTCATTGCCCCCCACACAACATGCAGTGCTTTTGAATGCCCTCCAACATGGGAAAATAATATAATATGAAATTATATTGTAAACGTCATAAATATATGCCTTTTTGAAATAGGGCATGTGGAAGAGTATGTTTTGTAAAATAAACGTTTGTCATGTTTTTTTTCGCAAACTTTCACTCCCAATGGGTCGCCCTGCAGGTGTTACCAACACACATTGCCATGCTACATGCACATATGTACAGGAGTATTGAAGCCGTGTGCATAACCATCCACTGGAAGGAGCACAAACAATATGCAACGCCAACAAAAATAACCTACGCGTCCGTTCGTCATAATCTGGCTTACGTGTGTATGATGGTGTTTACATCCCCGGGAAATTATTGGAAAAAAAAAAAAAAAAAACAGCTAAATGTAAATAATAAGGGCAAAAGTATATCCTTATTTTTTTCACAAGGACCACGAATGATACACATACCTCCGTGTACATATGTAGGCACGCAGGCATGTACTCATCTACCTTTGCTGTCGCGACGAAATAATTTTTTCCCCTTGTTAAAAGAACAAAGTGTCACCGGGCCGATTACAACAAAAAGAGCTTTGAGAAAAGGAAAACCCAAATGATCTGGGCCCAATTGTCCATGGCACAAATTAAAAAAGAAGGAAAATTATATTAATAGTAAAAAGGAGAACAACGGCTGAAGCCACAGGAGGAGGGTGAATCGATGAATAAAATGAGGGCATTTCAGCACGCGTCATCAAATAATTATATGTGCGACATACGTATACGCATAAATGAATAAGCAAAAGGTGCTTCAATCATGCATGTACGCAATTACAGTGTAAGTAGTATACTTGTATTCTGGATGCATAACTATCCTCCAATGGTAAAAAAAGTATAACCCTATATGCAAGCGCGTAGAAAAAAAAAAAACTATATATATATATATATATATATATATACTTGTGAATAATAGAAAAAAAGAACCCGCTTCACCTTGTCAAAGCTTAATTTTCAATTATATACGGTTTACCTCTCCTTTTTTTTTTTTTTATAATATATGCTGTATTATTTCAAGAGAGGAAAAAAAAAAAAAAAAAAAAAAAATGAACTCCCCCTTGTAGAATCCATATATATATATATATATATATATATATATATGTACGTAGTTACATGCGTATAATAATGCGTACAAATATCCTATATTATTCCTGTGCAACATTTTTAAAAAATCTATGATAGTTGCTCACCATTGTTAAGTTTTCCTTGTTTCATTCTGCGTTCTTTCGAAGGGCAGCATAGTGATGTAATCATAGGTAGTTGCAGTTTAAGGAAGCAAAATGTTTAATGCAAATTTTTAAGAATAGGTATTTGTGTGAATATATTCTTAATAGAAGAGATTTAAAGCTGAAGGGACGAAACGGGGGCAGCAGGGAAGCCAAGAAAAGGAGAAGAGAGAAAGAGGAAAAGGGAAAAGTGGGCATAAGTAAAAGGAAAATAGCTATAAAAAAAAGTGGCTCAAAACATAGCAGATTATAAGGCGTAGGAAGTTTGCTAATTGCAAAGGAAAACGCCCCCCTAAGCGGAATAGCAAAACTAAACGCCCCATCAACACGGGGGCGAACGGACACACAAGCACTTCCCTGTCAGCGGATATGTTTTCATTCGGCCTCAAAAGAAAAAAAAAGGAGGAGGAGCAATCCGTCGAGGAAAAAGCAGATGAGGGGAACGAAAGCCCTGCAGGTGATAAGAATGACAACAAGCAACTGAGCGACGAGGATAAAGCCAAGGAGGAAGCGGACAATGAGGAAAAGCAGGTAGATAGTAGAGGCACAAATAGAAGGACAAGGAAAGCACCTGTTAGGAAAAAAAAGAAGGCACAGAAGGAAGAGGAGGAAATTGAAGAAGAAAAAGCAGAGAAGGAAGAGGAAGATAAGAAAGGCAAAAAGGGTAAGAAACAGCCGCAGCCTAGGAAAGGTGCCGCGAGGAAGGGCAAAAAGGCTGCCGCAGATGAAAAGGAAGAAAACGACAATAAGGACGAGGCAAATGCAGCGAACGACGAAGCAGACAAGGAGAATGAAGACCAGGAACGAAAGAAAGAATTAAAGGTTGAAGAAGAATTAAAGGATAAGGACGCCAAAGCAAGCGCCTTAACACTGGAAATTTTGGGAGATATCCCAGATGCTGATATGAAGCCCCCAGAAAATGTTCTATTCGTTTGTAAGCTCAATCCTGTAACGGAAGAAGATGATTTAAAAACCATTTTCGCGAGATTCGGACCCATCATATCGTGTAACATTGTAAAGGATAAAGTAACAAACAACTCACTCCAGTACGCTTTTATTGAATTTGAAAAGAAGGAAGACTGCCTAAATGCCTACTTCGAAATGGACAACGTCATTATTGACGACAGAAGAATACACGTAGACTTCTGCCAGTCTTTAGCAAAATATAAAGGAGAAATAAAAAACTGGAAAATCGAAAATAAGGTTGTCCTGGAAAATATTAAAAAAAGGAAATTGGACCAAGAGGATACCAAAAGGAAGAGGAGGGGCAAAGTAACTTCCGATGGAGAACCGAACGATGAAGAAGAAGAAAACATTCGGGTCTTCAAATACGAAAGTGATAACAACACAAAGGAAGAACATGAAAATAATTCCAATAAGGAAGCAAAAAAATATGAACAAAAGGATAGCCCAAACGAAAATGCTCCGGAGGGCGGCAAGTACGACCAGAGTAATGAAAAAAGATATAACAACTCTAAGTACTACAAAGACAATTATAATAATTATTCCAATCAGTACCCCTACAGAAGGTATCCGTACAAATACAGATATAATAATAATTACAATGCCCCTTATGGGAAGAACTTTTTCTATCGAAAAAATTATAACAACAATTACCATGATAAGTATAACTACTATGATAAAGTCAGAAAAAATAGCATGTTCAACAAAAGGCATTATTCTCCAAAGGATAGTGGTGGTCACCGAAATGACGACTACTCCAGTCGGTACAGAAGACAACGTAGTCACTCTTCGGACAACTCGCAGAAAAAGAAACTAGATAAGGAAGATGCAAGAACAAGTGAAAATAGAAAATATAGTAATAAATCGATGGAAAAATCTCCCAAAGGAGGAGAACATGATGAGTATGACTACGAAAAGGATGGTCAGGGGGAAAGAGGATACTCAAATGATAACAATGCAGATGACGATAAGTTAAAAAGTGGAAAAAAAATGAAAGATAGGGATGCCTCTACATCCAGACCTGGTGAAAATGGCCATTATAACAAATACAATCACGAAAGGGGGGCTGGTGATGATGAACGGAATTCCAATTATAAAATGCATAGAAAAACGAATAGGTCACGTTCAAATTCTGTTAGGATGGAAAATAAGGAAGACCACAACAAGGGGTACATGAAACGTGATGGATATAATAACAATGATTATTACTATGATAAAAAACGAAAATACGGACAGTACGATGGGCCACCCAGGGATTACGAAAAAGGACGGGACGACGGCTACGCTTATAATAATGACTATTATAAAGGCTCCTACAATAAAAGGCAGAAAGGGTATCCAGGAGACGAGCACAATGACAGGTATAAGAATGCATACCCAAAGTATGTGGACAGGTATGAAAAAAATTTCTACCCAAAATATGAACGAAAGGATTTTTACGACCAGGATAAAAAGTATTACGATGCGGACAAAAAACCCAATAAGTACAAAAATGATGAGTACCGAAAGTATGACAGGAGCCCTGCTTACAATTACAAGGCAGAAAATAAAAAATATGGCGACAAAAACGAGGATTATTATAACAAGGCAAAGTATAACAGGTACAACTCTCACGAGCGGGATGATACTAAGAGGTATAATAAGGACAACAGAAATTACGGCAGCGGCTACAAGGACGACAAGAGCTATGGCAAGTATAAGGATAAAACATACGACCGCGAGGGTGGCGAGGATGCGCAGAGGGGCCCCAAATATTACAACAGGGAAGACAGAAAATGGTACGACAGGCGCGATGATAGAAACTACTACAAAGACACCAAATCGAGGCAAAAGGATGGTTACAGACATGATGACCTCGACAAAGGAAAACGAGACCAATCGTATGATAGAAAAAACAAAAGGGACGATAGCAGAGATCGCGCTAGTGACAAAAAAGGTTACAACTACAAAAGTAAAAGGGGAAAATACGCGGACGGAGAAAATGATGATGATCATTATAACGCCTCTCCCAATACAAAGCGAGACAGAACAAATAAGGACAACAGAAAAGGAAGGTCAAGATCGTACTCCGACGCAAGTCATAACAGTTCTGCTAAATATGCGTCCAAGGGCAAAAATCAAAAGGAAAAATATTCGTCACATGATAACAAAAATGACAACAGGAAGAAAAGTTATGACGATGATGATTACGAACAAGATAATCGCTCGGTTAGCAACTCGAAAAATTCTTATTCAGACAACCGGGAAGATAGAGACAGCTCCTACAACCCCAAATCGGAATCTGCTAATTCGGCCTACTCATGAAAAGGTGTTGTCAAGTGAAAGTAAATATGGAACACGTTACCTGTAATTTTCCGAGCAAAGTGGGCTGCTATGTAAAAATGCATACGCTGCGGGGGAGTGGGGTTGCCCAAGGGGCCCACACACCGCTGCCATTGTTAGCCATGCCAGTACGTACGTATACCAATATACATGCATGTGTCCTGCACATGAACGTACCGCGCCCACCTACATATGTATATTTCCATTTGCTCCTTCTCCTGTTTGTTTAGTCACAATGTAATAGCATTTGATACACCCCATATGCTGCGCACAATTTCTGAATTTTAATAAATAACGGATTAATTTAAAACCAATAAAAAAAAATAGAGTTATTAACGCTCAACAACGCGCAATGCTCATAAGATGCTTCATAAATATATGATGTTGTTCATTACGGAAATGTTTCCGTATTTTTTAAATTAACACAACCTGTCATATGTTTAAATCGGCACATGTGTATAATAATATATACACCCCATGTAGCATATATATATATATATATGAGTATGCAAAAATATATGTATATACGCCCTCATTTATATATACGCATTTAAAAGCATATGTTTTTATGGGCCTCTTTGGGATTGCAACGTCCATCTTCCCCTCACCAAGTGAATGTACATATTGATCGCTTGTCTGGATTCGATCTGAACGGAAAATGGATGCAAAGTATATTTAAAAAAATTTTTTGGCTGCTTTCCATGTTCCCGATGCCAACATAAATCTGTATACCTAAATCATCTGCAACGTTTTGAAATGACCCATACCGCCGAAGGGGACAAAGCAAAAGGTTCGTATGAAGCCGATGGGGACTTCCTTACCAGTGTGGAAACAAAAATGGAATAAAATTGGAGAACAAACGGGTAGCAAAAAGGTGGACCGCCCTAGCGTCTTGCCCCCCTCTTCACATACGCACTGCTTTGCTTACCCATTGTGCCACTACACTTAAATTTCCACATTGAATTACAATTTTTTTTTTTTTCTCATATATTTGATGTGTTTAAAAATTGTGTTTTGTATATTTTTTGTGCCCTCCTTCACCATCCAACGCTGCACACTGTACCATGCCTCTTTTGTTTAGCGTCTGTTCACCAAGAGCTGTACGCTGATAAAACTTATGCATAAATTGGTACACGCGAAAAAAAATTTTTTAAATTAACAAATTTGAAACTGCTTATAGGGGAACGAATTTTTCTTAACCTAGGGAAAGACCCTTTTAGTTATACCCGCACACTTAAGGGATGACATGCACGGGAAAGCTCATATTGCTCACGTGTTCCATTTGTATGTACAACGCACACTTTACACAGCCATGTCCTGTGCTTTATAAAAGAGTGTAGTATGGGCACAGTTCCATGGGCCTGTTTTCGGTGCCTCTTTCCCTCCAGTTGAACCACGCACGATAACACACTTGTGTAAAGTCTCTTCTAAAGTATATGGTAGTGGCACAAATGGGCTATATGTAAGCACGCAAATTTGGATCGCGCGTTTTGTGTATATAACCTCTTTTGGGGGGGGAGGTACGAAAGTAGAACCTGTTCAAACCCTTTTCCTCCAACCGATGGAGAAATCCTACATAACGACATTCATTCAATTCGTAATACCTCCTCATCCTTCACGTATCCTCTTTATAAACATATTAAAGGCACGTACACATAGAAACATATTTGCACACTGCGTCCATGATGTGTACTTGGAGTTGTAACTGTGGGGGTATTTCTAGGATGGAAACCCCTCAATGGACGGTGTATATGTTATTCCTACAAAGCTTTACGCAAAAAAAACAAAAAAAAAAAAAAAAAGGGCAGGGGCATTCTCCTTACACTTGTTCAATCTTATTCCCATGTCAACCTTTGTTGTAAATCGCACCCTTCGAAAAAAAAAAAAAACATTCCCATTTATTATTTTCCCTTATGCGCTATACATATTATGATTTATGTGCACAATACTCTAATGGGGGAGGTTGCCTTATTTGTTCCATAGCGGCTCCACCCCTCCACAGCCTTTTGCGTTCATATTATTTTGCCGCATATAAGTGAAGGGGGGCCAAATAAACAAAAGCGGCACAGCATGGTATGTGGCAGAGTTACGCACAGTTATATGCGGAATGACGTAAAACGAAACAAAACACATTCGCGAATGCCAAACGACATAAAAAAAAATATATGATGAACGTGGGAAGGTAAACGTGTGAATATTTTACATATGCATTGCATATATATGAATGGGCTGTGCATGAAGGATCGTTGAACAAAGGGACTGTGGGAGGTGTATAAGCACGCATACGGTGTACATGTATACACGTAGGGTATAGCCATATTGCATATGAATACGCGGTACGTAAACTATGTACGTACGCATACACGCCACAGGTGTCCTTGCGCAGAAGCGGGGTGGCGAGCCCTTCTGCACTACTCGCAAAGCCCTAACGTAAAATTGCGCATAAAATAAACTCCGTTTGGGCACTTTAAATCGTAGCACACGGCGCCACGTATGTGATCTGTGCGAAAAAATTTTTTTGCGTCAAAATAAGCAATAAGGGAAGCACCATTTTAAAAAAAAAAAAAAGCAAAGCAATAGCGATGCGATAAGAATGCGAAAGAGATGGCAGTGAGCCAGTAGCAATAATGAAGTGAGGACATAAACACCATATTAACTTTTAAAAAACTCTCTTCCCATTTCCTCTTCACGTTTCATATGTTTATACAAATATATCCCTACCGTATGCGTACATTATATAAAAGGTACATGTACATACGTATACATGTACGTACGCACGTCGGCCATGTAGCAGGAAGGGAACAAACGCCTGGAAGAAGCTTTCTTACGTTTTACAGAAAAAAAAACTCATTTTTTCCTAAAATTCAGTAAGGGACTTCTTGCAAACAAGAACATGTTTTGTCACTTTATTAAGTAAGGAAGCTTGCATGCGTACGTGTAACACATAACGTGCGCCCATGCTTGTACTGGCGCATGTGTTCATAGTACCTGTGCTCCCCCCCTTTCTTTTTTCTCCCCACGTGTATACGAAGAGCTGAGCGTTTTTCACAACGGGTGGAAAAAACAAACTTTCCACATATTTGTGAAACACTTGCGGGTACATGTATACACATGCGTGTGCACCTGTTTGTGCATTGAGCCAAGTGTTCATCGCTCGCGGAGTTTATTTACACAACGCAGAGGGTGTACATATTATATATATACACAACACGCAGCAGCGCTCATGATTATGTAACACATTGTCAAATGCTTGAGCTCGAATGTACATACCAATTTTAAGGCTTGCCACACTTAATCCACGTGACCCTTAATGGACAATTCGCAAACCATAACCACCATCACCCCCTGTGCAGCTCCCTTCCAATCTTGAAGAAGATTTTTACTGAGTAGCGTTACATCCTTACGCTTTTCTTTTTTTTTTTTTTTTTTTTTTTTTTTTTT